TTGTAAGTTAAATATTTAGTTAATAAACTAAGGTCATATGTATGAGCATCAGTAGTTTAATAGAGAAGTTGACATATCATTCCATGTGCCTCAAACAGACATTTTCATAAAAACAACAACGTGGATATCCACATTTTCAAGTTTCCTGTAGCCACTAAGTGGAGAAATATGCATTAGATTTGGTTTCACATCATTTGTTTTAACTGCATCTCTTTGTCTATTTATTGATTGTGTCAGTTTAACAGCATCACCTGGTGAGACGGCCTTTGAAGTGAAGATTGTGTCTCCAGCAGAGCAGTTCACCAGGATCTGGATTCAGGTCCTGGATCGTGGGGACGGGTCGTTCCTAGTTCGCTACAGAATGTACGCCACCTACACCAACCTCCACATCCACATTRTGCTGAAGGGCGAGCCCGTTGCAAAGTCACCGTACATCCTTAAAGGTAGAAAAAAACACTTAAGCTCCCCTCAATATATGTTTAGATACAAGCACAAGTGTACATGAAATAAAACATTTATATTTGGCATTTTATGAAGCTTTTCTCTTAACTTGCTGTAATTTCTCTCTTTTTTTATTTGATTTTTTGTGTTTAATAACTAAAAGGACACGTTGAAAAAGTCACTTTTTTGTTTCCCTTTTCCCCAGGCCATGTCTACCACGAGGGATGTGACTGTCCTCAGCTGAGTGGTTCTGTATGGGAGGTGGACATGCGCTGTCCTCAGTCCTTCGCTCAGATAAACAGGGACCTGTCTCCTTTCGTGAGCGTCGACCCAGATCGTAACGCCCAGGAGATACCGAAGCGCTTTGGAGAGCGACAAAGCCTCTGCCACTACACCATCAAAGACAACATGGTAGAGCCGGGGTTCAGGTGGTGGCATGATTTTTTTATTTTTTTTTAGCAAGCTGCCAGTATCGGCCTGATGCAACAGCAAACTCAAGCAAAAGCAGCGAAGAACTGGAATGTGAGCTGTCTCCCTAATTACACATTGTTGGAAACAACAAAAAGAGTATCTCTTAAGGCTGAATTGTTAGACTAAGGAGAGGTTATTAATCTCTTAATATGCCAGGTCAGTTCTAGTTGCTGTCATAGTGATCTATATAAAAC